CCCGGTTTCGGAACAAGAATGCAAGGTGAACTCCGATTACTCTTACTGGGCTCTATAAAATTATTTTACAGTAAATGCTATGTCTCTTTTTTCATGTATTCCTATTTTAAAAAATCATCCTGTATGGGTGTTGTTTCATGGATTTTGAATCTACTATTTCAACGTCGTGCAAAATTTTGTTGTCATTGTAAGTACGTCTGAAGACAAGTGCTCATATTCAGAAAATAATTGTTGAAGTTCACTTTTTCTTGACTTTGTAAATGAGAAAGTTTTTGGTCTAGATTTTCCATAACTTCCGAATACCGAATATTGGTTGTTCCAAGATCAGTAGAATCCAACTGAATTCCTTCATTCAAATCCTCAGCTGATGGGACAGGTACAACTAAATTAACTGCAAGATTTCCCTGGCTATTTCTTTTAACATACTCTTTTAACATATTGATGTGGCACAGTTATTTTGGTTTTCGCCTATCAGGAGTATTTATAATGTAATTTAAATCACTCATTTTCCTTTCAACCGTATATGGACCATAATATTTTGGTTGAAGAGGATTTTGTAGAATGGGCAATAGAGCCAGGACTCTATCACTAGATTGAAAACTCCTATCCCTTGAGTTTTTATCATATGTTAATTTCATGTTTGATTGAGAAGAGTGCAAATATGCTCTTACGACCTCACAAGCCTTTGACTAATTTATACTTGAAATCCGAAACATAATCAAGAAGATTAAGTTCTGTTTTTTCATGTGAAAGAAGTTTCTCTTTCAAGAACTTTGAGGTCCACGCACAATATGTCTAAATACCAGTTCAGAGGGACTGAACCCTGAACGGACTCTCTAACTGCAAACAAAAATAAATTAATGCTTTTTCATCCCAGTCTTTACCTGTGTCAGAACAATACTACTTTATCATATTTTTCAGAATTGGATGAAATCGTTCCAAAGCCCCTTGGCTCTCAGGATGATAGGCAGATGATTTGAACTGTTGAATGCCCAATTCATGCATGGCTTGCTGGAAAATTCCAGACATAAAACTTGACCCTTGATTTGATTGGACAGATCTGGGAAGGCCAAATTAAGTAAAGAACTTTATCAAAATCTTTACTATATTTTTTAGTTTTAATATTCCTCAATGGAATTGCCTCTGGGAATCTTGTTGACGTACACATTATGGTCAACAAATATTAGTTGCCTCACTTGAACTTTGGTAAGGGACCACCACAATGTACAATAATTCTACTGAATGGTTCGTCAAATGCAGGAATTGGTTGCAGATGAGCCTTGGGTATCTTTTGATTTGGTTTTCCTACAATTTAACATGTATGACAAGACCTATAAACCGTGCACACATCACTTTTGATTTTTGGCCAATAGAAGTGAGTCAAGATCTTGTGATACATTTTATTTATCCCTAAATGACTAACCAGAGGAGTTTCACGAGCCAAACAAAGGATTTTCTGTCCGTACGGTTTCGGAACCACAATCTCATATTTTACTGACCATTCGTCATTAGCAGGTACCTCGGGAGGTCTCCATTTTCTTATAAGAACTCCATTTTTAATGAAGTAACAGACCAGTACTTCCAGCTTCAGTGTTTCTAACGACCCGCTGAAACAAACAGGAGATCTCAGGATCCTTCTCCTGTTCGACGACAAGTGATTGTCGTTTATCACCCTGATCAGATTAAATAGAGTGAGTATTTAAAAGAGGATCACTATGATCAATACCTTTTGACTGATCCAAATTAGTAATGAAAGTGACCTCATCAAAAGCCTGACCAATACATGTGTCAGCTAAAAGAACACAATCATTCTCAAGAGTTTTCGTTGCCATAGCTCTTGTATCTGCACTATCTGGGAATAAATCAGGGATTTCTTTTTCCATGGGATCAAATTTCTGATCCAAAAGAAGGCTTGTCCGTTACAAGTGGATTAACCACAACCTTGTCTCCAGCTAAGTCATTGCCTAGCAACAAATGAATGCCCTCAACGGGTAAAGAAACAAGATACCAACTGTCACGGGTCCTAAAACTAAGTCTGATGACAAATTAACATTAACAATTAATTTAATAGGGATAGGATTGACCAAATCACCCAAGAGTGATATAGAACCCTTCGAAACGAATGGTTCAGCATCTTCCATAAGAAAATTCGACTGAGGTTTTTCAAACCCAACAAGTGTATCGATTTCAATACATGACCGTGACCTTGACCTGTTAGAAACAAGAGCATTTGGAATAGGTCTATCTTGATTGTGATGCCTATATTTTAATTTGAAGCAATCAGAAATGACGTGTCCTTTTTTTCTTACAATAGGTACAAGTAGGTAGAGACAAGGATTTTGAATCAAGTCTCTCATAGTCTTGATTTTGATAATTTATGCCAGATTGAGTTTTATTGAGAGTGGTATTTGATTTAAACACCTTTCTATCAATAAACTTGTAAGAGAAAGATTTGCTTCAGCTGAAACTTTATGAGTTAAGGAATACTCATCGGCAGCAATAACAGCTTTTTCCAAGGTTTCAAACTTATGCTCTTCAAGACGATTCTTAATATCACTATGGACACAGTTCTTCAAGTAATACTAATTATTCAAAACTTTCAAAATCTCGATTTTCTTGGCTAAGCACCATCTCTTGCATAACGGTTCTTTTTGTCTAGCAAATTAAACATAAGTTTGTTTAGCATCTATCCTATAGTTTCTGAAATTTTGCCGATAAGCCTCATGAACTAATGCATAACCCTTCAAAATGCATTCCTTAATCATATAGTAATTCGAACTTCGTTCTACTGATAGATATTTCTGGCTTTGACATAAAGTACACTCAACAGTAATTGATTTCAAAACTCCTCTGGCCATTTCGAATTCTCAGCAACTTTTTTATTTTTTTTTATAAAAAACCCCAATAAAATATTTGTCTACTTCCATTTCACTAAAAGGGGAAACTGACTTAATATTTCCTAAAATGTTAAAATTTTAATTTTTACCTTTGTTCCTTTTGTTATTTTATTTGCCTTTCATTTACCATTCCTTCTATTTGTCTTTCTTTCTTCCTCTTTCTTTCCTGTTCATCTTTCTCTTCCTTTTCAGATTGTAATCTCGTTTGTTCTTTTTGTAATTCAATTTGTCTTTCTTTTTCCTTTTCTTCTATTTGTCTTTCTTTCTCCTCCTTTTCAGATTATAATCTCATTTGTTCTTTTTGTAATTCAAATTGTCTTTCTTTTACCTTTTCTTCAGTGTAATTTCATTTGTTCTTTATCTTTATCTTTCTAATTCTGAAGCCAGAGCTTCCATTTTGGTATTTCATTTTCAGTTCCATTTTTTAAATGTCAGAGTTTGTCATAGACTTACTTACAGATACCAAAACAATTGGTCAAAATATTCTTTCCTACTAAATATTGAGTTAAAATATTTTTGATTTCTTGTTTTGTCAAGGAAGCTTTTGCTTCAGAAAGATCGTACTTTCTGGCACGTTCAAGCAACTCATCCTATTTCAAACTATCCAACTGTGCTTGAGTTGGACTAGAAAGAAAACTCTCCACTTTTGACATTGTGAAAGAAAGCCTGTTGTTTTCACTAAAAATTTCAAGCAAAATTGGATTTCAACTAGGGGAATTTAGATTTTAAATGTTTTGCCAATTTCATATATCAGCTAATTTCATATGCCCCAAAGGACGAGCAACGCAAGTTTCTTTATGTTACGTATCGGCTCGTTTTAAGTAACATAAAAGAAAAGAGCGAAGACAAAAAGCTTTGTACATTTTAACATAAATAATTTATTTCCTTAGAAAACAAGGTGAAAAGGTAAAAATATGAAGACTTACGAGTTACGAAGAAGATCCATAAATTTGTCCTAAAATTGTGAAAACATATAAGTCCTATGAATAAACAGTTCTAAATTGACGTAGTCTGAATCTCAATTCCGTTCCAAGATGGCAGATGATGACGTCAGATGAAGGTATACTCAAATGTCCAGAATTTTCACTGTGAATCACAATTTGTGGTGTTCTGTTCCAATTTAGAAATAATTTCAGCAAATGTCTTTGTCCAAAGACAATAGTGTAGTTCTCCAGGGAAAATTATGATTTAGAAGGTAGACGAAGTATAACTATCCTCAATAACAAAACAATTGTTATTCTTCAAACGTACGAACGAATAACTCTTTCCAGCACAAAAGGATACATTCTTCTTAAGGTAATAGAAACTCTATAAGATGTTATGATGTGACTCTCTAAGATGTTAAAATATGACTCTAGACTAGTTCGCAAGTTCCTGAGCATTTAAAACAAACTAACACGTCATTTCATTTACATGCATGAAGAAATCATGGAGATTTCGGAACATCTCCAAAGTAGTCTAGAATGTCAACATGCATTATTAGTAATGACAGTGGTCACAACAAATCATTTACATAGATATTTCCGACTGTTTACTTAATATGACAAAACCGTCATGCAAAAGTCATGCTTATGCGAGTCATATTTATGTTCTAATAAACACGATGATTCTAACAACATTTCAGACCTTGTGAACATAATCATCATCATATTAATAATTATATTTAATGATATAAAAATGAACTAAAATGAAATAAAAAGAATTAGAAGGAATTAAAATTTAACACACATGTAATTTGAGTACAGGGTCGTAACAACATATACACCCATACACATACATACATATTTTCCTTATTAGTATTAGTAATTAGTTGTTAGTAGGTTATTTGTTGGTTAGCTTTTGTATCTGTGTTATGTGTGTGTGTGAGTGAGTACTTTTATTGATATGTGTTTTAGTTGTTTGCTTGAGCGGTAGTAGAGTAGTGTTGTTTCAAATTTATCGCATGCTATGTACAGAGTGTATAGTGTTGTTTTAGTTGCTTGGACTTGTGGACGACCTTCTGCGGCTCTGTGTACTCCCTTTTATTGGTATCGGTTATCTCATGGTTGGGACTTGCTTTGAAGCCGGCATTTGCCATAGTCCTTGCTCCTATTAGACCGCTCCTGTGGCCTAGTGGTAAGAGCGTCCGCCTCGGCTGCGGAAGGTTGTGTGTTCTATCCCCGGCCGTGTCATATCAAAGAATTACACAAATGGTAATAACAGCTGCCTTTCTTGGCGCTCAGCATTAAGAGGTTATTGGTAGGACTGTTCGGCCTGGTATCAGAATAATGTGTCTGGTTGGGATATCATGCTATATGTCTGCGGCATGATGCCCCAGACATCACTATAAACTCCTACACTGCAGACATCGTAGCGATGTGACTGAAAAATTGTTAAAGCTACGTTAAAAATCTAAATCACGCACACACACAGACACAGACACAGACACACACACACGCACATGCTCCTACCATTTGTTCAAAGGTCTCGCCTTTTGATTTGGCTCATTTCCATTGTCTTTCTTTCTAATAGCTGTTCTGGTTCTCTCTATGTTGTCGTTTGTTTTTCGACTTTTTTGCTTTTCGGTTTGGGTTGAGGACTTGCTTTTCAGCCGGCTTTTGCTATAGTCCTTCTCCTTAAGGTGCTTTACTCACCCCGTGTTCTTTATTAATCCTGACATATTTGTGATTGTTATTTGGTAGTTACGGCTCTCTCGTTGTTTTATTGTTTTCGGTGTCTTAATTCTTATCCTCATTCTTAGCGCTACTTACCCATATTCTTTTTTTTTAGTTATTAATTGTTTAGTTGTGAAATGTTAGTTCTGCTAATATTAGTATAATAAGTGGTCCTTGTGGCGTTGGGCAGTTTATATGTGGAATGTGAATCCTTTTATATGTTGGTATAATTTGCGTACTTTTCCAGGAGTAGTTTGGGTAGTCCCATTAGTATTTTCCATGGGTTTTGTGCTTTAAGATTGATTTTTAGGGTGTTATTCGTCCACGGCGTGGGATCCTTGATTACGCTCTGTTCCACCTGAGAGTTCTCTACTTCTATATCTTCGCAGAGTCTGTGTACTCTGTTTTCCGCGGATGTTTTTGGACACAGTTGTGGTTAAATGGTCGTCTGCATTCATGGATTGTTTGTTTTGTTTGGTTTGTGTCCTCGAATGTAGATTTCCTTATTGATAGTCGCAAGATATGTTCTTCCCGTCTGAGTGGTAGTGGTAGTTCTCCTGTGAGGACCTGGAGTTCTTGCAGCGATGTCTTTGGTAGTGTTCCGGTGCATAGTCGGAGTATTCTGTACTGGAGTGCATAAAGTTTATGAAGCAGGGTCTCGTTGGCTAATGCATATATTTGGTACCCATAAACCCATTTAAATCTGACGAGCGATCTGTATAACATTAGTAGTGTGGCTTGGTCGGCTCCCCCATATGGTTTCCTTCAGGTGCTTTATTAGGTTGAGGTCTTGTTCTTATCTCTTGATTAGTTCGTTGATGTGTGGTTTCAAGTTGAGGTTTTAATGTAGTAGCATTAGCAGGAAGTAATTTTCATTGACAAATTGTGTTCGTGTTTCTTGGATGTAGCATACTTTGGCTTGTGTTTTGTTTTTTTGTTTTTTTGGTTGGGGGAAGGAGAAGAGCACTCCCACAGTTTTTGTACCCGAGATCTTAAATCTCCAGTTGTCTGCCCATCTTGTGATAGCGTCGATGTTGTTGTAGTTCGGTGATGAGTTGGTGGTTGTTATGATTCGTTGCTTTCCACATGCCGCTGTCATCGGCGAATTGGGATAAGTGTACCGCATTATGAATATAGTCATCCAGATTGTTAATCATAATGTTGAAGAGTGTAGAACTTATAACACTTCCTTGTGCGGTTCCATTGTCGAGTGTGCATGTCTTTGAGTAAGTGTCTCCAACTCGGGTCTTCCTGTAAGAAAGTTTTAAATCCATCAGTGCATCCGTCCTGTTATCCCATACTTGTTAAGTTTGACTATGAGTCTTTTAGTCCAGACTATGTCGAAGGATTTTTCAAGGTCTAGAGATATGGCAATTAGGTGTCGGTTTCTTTAATGCTTAGCGTTGAAGGCTATTTTAATATTGGCTTCTATGCGTACAAGTTGGTCTAAGGTAAAGCGGCTTTTCCTAAAGCCGCTTTGTTGTTCCGAGAAATGGTGGGATTTTTTTAGGTGGTGTCGTTTCCATAATTTTGCATATGGTATTTGTTAGGGAGATTCGGCGATATGATTAGGCCATTTTGGAGTCCTCTCCTGGTTTGGGGATAGCTATGATGATTACTTGTTTCCAGATTGTTGGAATTTGCCTTTGGCTCCAGATAAGGTTGATTATGTTTAAAACTATAAACTGCATGTTCATTGGTAGCTGCTTGTATATTTCGTAGCCTAAGTTATCTTCCCCTGGTGAACTTATCTTGTTTTGCTGTGTAGCACTCTAGTCCATTCTTGTAGCTGAAAAAAAGTCATTTAGTGGTGAGTTGTTATGCTCTTGTTTTTTTATTTGATCCTTGAAAAGGTGTGGATATTACTGTTCCAGTTCTTGTCAATGTAACATAAATGTGGATGTGTAGTTGTCATTACTGCTGGAATGGGCAAAATGTTTGGCTAGTTGTTCGGCTTTTTCTTGGTTGGTTTCGGCTCCTGCTATTGGGGGTGTTGTTTTAGGGGCCTTGCCTTTTATGGCTTTGACTTTTTCCCGGACTTTTAGTATTGGTGGAGTGTGTGAGAGTGGAACAGTACGACTGCCTTGATGCTTTTTAAGCCTCTGGTGGTTCTGCGAGCTTTGGCTTCCATTTATTTGTAGGCGATAAGTCTATGGTTAGCTTGGTTTGTTTAAATCGGGTTAAAACCTTTTTCTTTTCTTTAAGAGCTATTTTTCATTCTTCATTCCACCATGGTAGATTTGGTTTGTTGGTCTTGCTATTTGAGTTTGGAATGCTCTCTTGGGCTACTTCATTAACTTCCTAGATAATGTTGTTGTTGTACTGTTTGGTGTCTGCGTTTTATAGTTCATCTTTGTGTTGCCTCCTTATGATGGTTTGAAATAATTTTCAATGTGCTTTTTTCGCTTCCAGCTTGAAATGTTTGCTTGGTGTTCCTTTGAGTTATTTAGGTAGATCGTGATGCATATCGGAAGTGGTCACTTCGTGGTGTGCTGTTGTGTAGTACATTCCAATAAGTGATTTGTGCGATGGCTGTTGTTGTTACTGTGGGGTCTATTCTTGTGGAAATCGATGTGTTGAGGATTAAAAATTGATTGTCCTTGACGAATTTTTCTATGATTTTGCCTCTGGTATCTGTATGGTTACTGCCCCATTCCAGATTGTGAGCTTTGAAGTCTCCACATATGATACTATTGATGGTTTTATCTTTAATAATTTGGGTATAGTCCTGAACAGTGCTGGCGCTGGAGTCTGTATTAGCTGGATTGTAGATGTTGTATATTATTTGTTTGGTCCCCAGTGTGATGTTGATGCCTTGGTGTTCAATGCTACTTTCTGAACAGCTTGTGTTAGTGTTGATTTCTGTGGTCTCAGTGATGGTGTTGTTTACGTATATATCCAGTCCTCCTCCTTTTTACAGTTTATTATGTATTTGTGGAAGTTAATGTTGTAATCCTTTAGTGTTGATGCTGTCTTGTTGTTTGATAGATGTGTCTTTTGTAGACAAATAATGTAGGGTTTGTAGGTTGTAGTGGTGATTGCTAATTGTAGATATCCCTGATTTGCGTATAGTTCTCTACAGTTCCATTGCCAGATAATTGTATTGTGGTGTTTGTGACGATTTGTATTGCTTGTTTTGTTTCGGTTGTCTTCCATAAGGGTACCGTAGTTGTTAATGGGTTAGGTGGTTGTTTGCGCAACAATATTAATAGGTGATGGAAGTGATTTTATCCACCAGTGTTTATAGCGACCAGTGTATAGCGACTGGTATACATCTTCTCGGTTTACTTTATCGGCCTAAGGTCAAAACCTTTTTCAAGGTCTTTTTCGGCTGACTGACTGACTGCCATTTATTAAATTCGCCTACGCTAACTTAGAGTTTATGCTTAGTGACTAAGCTTTTTAATTGGTCGGTATTTTTGAAATGATGCCACAAAAACACCGCGTTTATGTACGATATCCGTACTTTTCAACTGCCTGTCAGGAGGATGTCAAATTCTGTCCAGTTGTTCTAGTGGACGTTCCCTATCCACAGTATTATGTAAGCCACCTGTGCAATTGCCCTAAGTTTTGAGTTGAAGATTACTTATTCTTATTTTTATGTAGTTGGAATTTTGTGTACTAAATGTACTTCAATTTTCAAAATTATACCAATCAGGTGTTAGCAACCCTGTGATTTTGGGGCCACACATTGTTAGTCTTAGTTGTTATTTTTTGATAGTGGAGAGTCCAAAGGATCTAGGTATTTATATGCAGATATGTTTCCCTAGAACCAGGTTTAGTACCCTTGTGTTACAAGGAGTTGAAGGTGGCATAGAAGGGAGATGGAGAAGAGCTTATGATAGAAGATCTTTGTATTACACAGGCTTGTTGTACGCAGGATTACACCAAGGTGTTGATAGTTTCTTTTTCCTAACACTTGTTTTGGGCCCTTTTGTTAGTTGGGGTGTTAGAAAAGGATGTGTGGAAAGTTTGGTTGAGGGCTTATTGTGGAAAGTCTTTTGCAACACGGGATTTTCGCTGTCAGGATTCCACCCTGGTGTTTGCTAGTGTGTTTTACCTAGCACATGTTTTGGGCCCTTTTGTTATTGGAAAAAGGAGGGAGAAGAGAGTGTTGTGAAAGAGGGGTATGAGAGTAGGAGGGGAAAGTGAGTAGAGTTGTGAGCCATGTGGCTTAGAGTTTATGAAAAGAAAAATAAAAAACACCTTACGAGGTGAATTTGTCACTCGTTGCCATGCTTTGTTTGCTTGTCCGGTGGGCCAGTGCTTGCCCAGACGTGTGACCAAGCTTGCACGGCAAGGTGAGCCAGTACTTGCCCAGTTTTGTGCCACCTTGTTCTGCTTCCGGAAGTCCTGGTTCTTGTTCGACAACTGGAGGCTGAATTTCCAATCCCTTTCCTGGTCTCCCTTGTCCCCATTTGTTTCTTACTTGTTTTGTGTCTTCCTAGTCCAGAATTGATTGTTTCAGTCACTCGTCAATTTAGAATTTATATTGTGCCCGTTTGTTTGTTTGTTAGT